ATAATTTAGTGTTTAAATCTTGAAGTGGTTTGTTATATTGAAAATATTAAGTTAAATTTAAAAAGCAGTATTTTGTTAATAATAATAATTGATCATAGGTAAATGTGGTATGTATAAATTTCTCTATTTAAAATAAATGATGCATGGGAAGGTGGAAAAATTTTAAGTTAGTGTTAACAGGTAATTATCAGGGATGAATTGTAATGAGTCTGTCTTCATCTTTTCTTAGTTTTTGATATACTAGAACATCAGTTTTTTGTTTTTTATTTAATTTTTTAAAATATATTTTATTGATTTTTTGCAGAGAGGAAGGGAGAGGGATAGAGAGTTAGAAACATCGATGAGAGAGAAACATCGATCAGCTGCCTCCTGCACACCCCCCACTGGGTATGTGCCCGCAACCAAGGTACATGCCCTTGACCGGAATCGAACCTGGGACCCTTGAGTCCGCAGGCCGACGCTCTGTCCATTGAGCCAAACCGGTTAGGGCAGTTTTTTAAAGCTGTTTTAGGTTTACTGAAAAATTGATCAGAGTACAGAGAGTTCCCACATCAGCCCTGTGCAACCATAGAGTTTGCACTATTTTTCCCATGTTGAATTACTGTGGTACAGTTGTTATAATTGCTTAATCAATATTCATGCATTAAAATGCATAATTTACATTACCATTAGCTCTTGTTGTTATGGGATCTATGGTTTTGAGCAAATGTAAAATAATGTGTGTTCATAATTTTTATATCATATACTGTAGTTTTATTTACCAGAAATCTGTGTTCCACCTAGTCGATCATTTCTTCCTTCAACCCCTAAATCCTTTAAACCCAGAGGCCTTTTTATTGGCTCATGTTTTTGTGTGTGTGTCCCTGATTGTCATATACTTAGAATTTATACAGTGTGTAGCCTTGTGAGATTGGCTTTTTTCACTTAGCAAAGTACTTTTGAGTTTTTCCGTGTGTTTTCATGGCTTAATACCCCATTTCATTGCATGGACTTACCAGTTGTCTGTTTGTCTCTTGAAGGACATCTTGCTGAACTCTAACTTCTGCCAATCATGAACAAAGTGTCTACAAATATGTATAGGTTTTTGTGTGAACATTAGGTTTCAATTGGTTAGGTCTATAACAAGGAGTGTGATTGCTGGATCTTACTAATTGTAGTACAAGTATTACAAGAAATTGTAATATTTTAAAAGTATTTAAAAGAAAGTTCCTGTCTCCACTGTAGACATGTCCAATTCCATTCCCACCAGCAATGAATTAGGATTATTTCCAGCTTTACATCTCCACCAGTATATGGTGTTTGAGTATTTAGAATTTGAGCCATTTAATAAGAGTGCAGTGAGTGACACCACATTGTTGATTTATTTGTACCTAGATTTTCTTGTGTTATCTTGTAGAAGTTTATTACCTTTGCATTTTACATATAGATCTGTGATGTGTTTTGAATGAATTTTTGTTAAAGGTGTAAGGCCTGTGTCTACATTCATTTTCTGTATGTGCATTTATATGTAGATACTCATGATTTCCAGCATTATTTGTTAAAATACTTTTTTCCCCCATTGAATTGTCTTGCCTGTTTTGTCAAAGATCAGTTGAGTATATTTGTGTGGGTTACTCTTTTATTAATTCCAGGAGTTCTCTCTGTTGTTGTTGGCTCTTTCTGGTGTTTCACATAGACAATCATGTCATAAGGAAGAAATGTGATTAATTTAGCTACAGGTTTTGAATATGTTCTATCTCAAAAAGTGGAAGTTTCCTTCTGTTGCTAGTTGGTTATCACAAGCAAATATTCAATTTTATCAAATCCTTTAAAAAATATATTTTTATTGACTTTGGAAAGGGTGAGGAAGAGAGAGATAGAAACATCAATGATGAGAATCACTGATCAACTGTTTCTTGCATGCCCCCCAATGGGGGTCGAGCATGTGCCCATAACTGGAATCAAACCCAGGACCCTCAGTCACAAGCCAACACTCTA